CAGCCGCCACTCCCCAGCCAGCCTGGGGCCGCTTCCTGGACTGCTGCCGCCAACAGGGCCTGCTCGCCTCAGCGGGGCGCGACGCGACGGACGCAGCCACGGCTCGGCCGCTCTACCTGATCCTGGATGACAATTTTTACTATCGGAGCATGAGATACGAGGTGTACCAGCTGGCTCGAAAATGTAATGACCCCTTGCTCCTACGCGTAAGAACGTTCTGTAGGAAATTCAGTGCGCTGCCTTCCTCTAAGCACTCTCACAGAACACTAGCTATTCTTAATGGCTAGATTCCAGCAGTATAGCATCAACTTAGCTTTATTACTGTATTATTAGAAACTGCTAGGTCACTTAAAGCCTTTCTTACGTATGTTAATCTCAGAAATGACAACTCGGATGATCTGGAAAGTAAAACAGTTTGTACACTGTTTAGGTTTGTATTTGCAGGCTCAGAACTAGTGCAGAAGTTCCTCACGCATGTAAAGCCTGTCTCAGGCATGTTGCTCTCGGAAATTTTACTTGAACGGTTTAAAGGTAAAATGGCCTGTTTACGTTCTTTCAGATTCCTTGAGCTTCTGCCAGCTGTTTTTGGAGTGTCCACTCGAATGCTGCTTGCGGAGGAATCGTCTAAGAAGTCATCCGTTACCTGACCAGACAATATGTGTAATGGCGAGAAAAATAGAAATGCCAGATCTCAAGAAAAACTCTTGGGAACAAAACAGCCTCATTCTGAAAAGTTCAGATTGCGCTTCAGAGGATAAGTATGCTACTGGCCTGCTGCTAGGGATTTTGCTCAGTACTGTTCTCATAAACGGGCGGGTGGAAGCTTTTTATTGTATCTAAACAGGATGTAAAAAATATTCCTTATGGTGATTAAGTTCAGATTGCGCTTCAGAGGATAAGTATGCTACTGGCCTGCTGCTAGGGATTTTGCTCAGTACTGTTCTCATAAACGGGCGGGTAGAAGCTTTTTATTGTATCTAAACAATGGTGATTTTTGGGAGCCGGTCAATTACACACGATACGTGCTGGTTGCTGGGAGCTCACAGCCATCATTCTTTGCAGAGTTCACCACAAAACGAACTGCATTTCTAAACCCCTGTTGAAAATCTATGTAAATTGTCTGAGACATTAGGCCTGGAAATAATTAGCTGTAGTTTCAGTTGTAATTGTTTTTCACCTGACTTGCTGTATAAAGATTATTTCATTGATTGCCTCATAAATTTAACTGAAAAATTGCTTTTTTTCCGTGATGAGGTGTCATTACAAAATGAAAGAAAAATCTTCAGTGACACTGATTAATGTGGTTTACTCTTGTTCATTTTCTTAGTGAGCAGATAATTAGTTTGCTGGCCACTGCTCTGGAAAATCCAGTGAAGCAAAACGAGGAAAACACTGAGCAAAAGGTAGCACTGCTTGTCTTCAGTCACGGCTCTTTCAGATGGTGGTGAATGAGTGAGTTACTCGGGAATCGGATTCAGAACACCGTGATGACAGAAACTGAGAAATCCTATTTGCCTGTTTGCAAAAATACACGCAGAAGAGTTAATCCTGTTTGAAATGGCTATTTCTGTCACCTTATTGAGTACTGAACTACCTTTAAGAATACTGTTGTATGTCATACAGTAGTAAAAAGAATGGTTTCTGGAGCTCGTGTTGCACTGGTGAAAGTAAGGTTCACTTCCTGACGTCACCCACGTCTCTGGCAGTTACCCAGGCGTACACACCTGCCTCCCAACTCAAAGGAGCAGGTCACCGCTTTGCTGCTAACGCGCTACTTGTTTTCAAAGACTAATTCCATTTAACGTGTTTGCCTGTGTTTTTCCCTTCCGGTGGTCCTCCCTGGATAGGAAGCAGATCGAGTGATCTGTGCCGCCAGCACTCTCCACCAGGCCGATCAGACCTGCAGGCGCATCATCTCTCAGGCGATGAAGGATGCCAGAGGTAGGCGAAGCGTTTTCTTGGTGCTGCTGGCAGCTAAGACTAATCCTATGAAATTCCCTCGGGCTAACCTGTTAGGGAAGCCCAACCCTGCAGGTGTAACTGACCGGGGCAGTCTCCTTCACAAGTCTGGTCACAGTTATTGGTAGATCGTGAGCTGAAGTGTGTAAATTTTGTCTTTAAACATGAAGTTAAATGTTCGGTTTTAATTTTCTTTTAGATAAAAATGTACTCCCGAGTGAGATGAAGAGCCTGGCAGAAGAACTCCAACAACTCAAAGCAGGATTTTTGGAAGACTTGCGGCAAGGAAGTAATTTGAAAAACCAAAGTTGCATACAAAATCAAGATTCTGACCCCGTGACAAGTGTAATTTCTTCATTCCAACACGAGGCAGCCAATGCAGTTAATAAATATATTTTAAAATAATGACAGAGAGAATGTTCGTGTTTTTGAAGAGTGTGGAAGGGTTAAGAGTGCCATCCTGCTTCGCCAATGGCTTACTTCTCCAAAGGGGTTAGAGTGCCATCCTGCTTTGCCAACAGCTTCTGCCCTCCTGCTTTGCCAACAGCTTCCTTCTCCAGAGGGGTTAGAGTGCCATCCTGCTTTGCCAACAGCTTCCTTCTCTGGAGGGGTTAGAGTGCCATCCTGCTTCGCCAACAGCTTCCTTCTCCGGAGGCCCGTGCCTTCTCCAACCCCTTTCCCTGGATTGTGGAGGAGAAACAGTCCAGTGCACGGTGTTGGAAGGTCAAGCCAACAAGAAGCCATCCTTAATCGATTCTAAATTCCGTAGGAAAAGCGAGTCTGGGAGGAACACCGAGAAGTCATCCAGTCCTTTCCTGCTTCCAGCAGGACCAGCCTCAGGCTGGAGCAGCTTTCCCCGCGCCGCATCCGGCTGAGGTTTTGAAGAGCACCTTGGATGGCGGCTTGCTCTGTCGAAGGGGTAGCTGAGTATTTCCAGAAAATACATGCCTGGGAATGTATAAAAACAGACACTGCAAAGAACCAGAAACACACGCATAGGACTGACTCCGCTGTCCAAAGCAACTTAAAAACTTGGTGCCACCTCCAAAGTTGCTAATAACAGCACACGCAGAAGTTCCACGTGCAGTGACAACCCCCTCACCACAGCACACACTGATTTCAGGCATGGAAGCACTCTCAGTAAGGAAACAGGAGTACGAGGAAACAAGGAAATTGGAAGATAACCCAATGTGCAAGCTTAACAGTGGAAAGGAGTAAAAGCGTGTCCTGGTTCACCACTAAAATCAAGCATTTTCAAATTCAGCAGAGAGAAACAAACGCACTGTTCCTTAACCGAAAGGTAAGCTCACCTTCCCTGCCGTATCTAGACCACGGTTAGTCATCAGCAGCTCACCAGTGCCACGCCTCGAACCATATGCAGTTAAGAATTAACACAAGACTTAATTAGAAAGTGTTATTTTATTCATATCTTACAAAAGCAAAGCTTCACAACATGAACTACACTAGGTAATAGTCGAGTTATTTCAGAATTAACCTTGTCATCTGAAAACATTCACTACACAATAAAATTTATTTTACAACTCTTAACAGGTTTCATTTTTGCATACAAAATATGTTCTTTACACTGAAATACATATTATTAACAAAGCAGGTACTTAGAAGCACATACACAAAAATTGCTCAATGAAAAAGGCTTCAGCAGGGGACAGATTTCCTGCAGCAGAACATCCATTTGCTGTAGATTCTCCAAGAAGCTTAAAATTAAAAGAAAACTTGCCAGTGAAGACTTTTGAATTACATTCCCTTCGTCAAAAAAAAAAAAACAAAACACAAACAAGCAAACACACACACACACACCCCACGCCCAAACACTCTGGAACAAAACAAAGAGCAACAGATCATTTTGCTAGGAAACACTGCTGGAACGTGTCTCCCAGCACGGAGTTTTATATTAAAATGCCAGTCAACATTTTATGTCAAAATCCTCTTCATCTGAACATGTATCTGTGAAAACACAACTATTTTCCCTATTAGCTGCTTCACAGCTGGTTTAGGTATTAACAGAGATAATCTACCAAGATCTTGAGTCAAATATTTGTGTGGTCATTGGAATATTCAGCCTCAGTAAGTCCACATGAAGAGTACGATAAATAGTGCATGTTTAAAACATCAACGAATCTAACAAATCATCAATAAAAACAAAAACCCCACAAAGTTAATGTTTCGCAACAACAGAACTTTGTAACAGAGTCAAGCTATGGAAAAAACTTGGCTCATTCCCAAACTGCCCTGTTAATGCAAGTTAAAATGCTAATCGCCACCTTATAAAAGTTTCTGTTTGGGTTTTTAAAAAAAAAAAAACAAACAAACAAAAAAACACAAGTTAGTGCAGCGTAGCACACGGAGAAATCAACATGAAAAGTCCTAACAGGACTCGATCCTATGATTCCTGACCAGTACCCCTCACTGAGTAAGGCCTGCTTGTGCAAGGAAATCGTCAAGATCCCAAACAACTTTCCAGCACTAATTCTGGTCTTTAAATTATAGTTATGTACACAATCATGAAAAACCAAGATGAAAATACACCTTCCAAAGCTACTCAGTAGGCGGAAGGAAACGGATCTAATCAGGGTACTGTTTGGCACAACTGAGCACAGAGTATTTATGCTGAAAAATTCAGAACCCTAGTCCTGGGGGCGACCCCTCACGCTCGGCAGGGATCCAGCCCACAGCGCTGGTGGCTGAATCAAGGTATGAACGCCAGAGCCTGCTGCTGCCCAAGAAACCCCCGCAGACAGGAGCTTGCATGAGCAAAGGAAAACGTCGTTCAACAGTGCACAGATGTTCCAGCTGATTTCCTCAGGTACTTCAAAGCAGAAACAATGGTATTGTCAGCAGTAGGAAAATACGTCTAAACAACAATTTGCTAGGTGTGGGGTTAGATTTTTTTTATACTGAGTTCTATTAAGAATACAGGTTGCCCCTGCAACAGAGGGTCCCCTCCTAAATGAAGGCCCTTTTTCAGTAAGATTACTCAGACTTCCTCTTGCTACCACCTACTCTATTCCTGATGCCCCATCCCTGGAAGTGTTCAAGGCTGAGTGTTCAAGTGGATGAGGCTTGGAGCAACCTGGTCTAGTGGAAGGTGTCCCTGCCCATGGCAGGGGGGTGGGACTGGTTGATCTTTAAGGTCCCTTCCAGCCCAAACCATCCTATGATTCATGAATTACTGTGCTCTTCAACAGTAATATCTGCTGTTCTGGTATTAGTTCAAGTCCCTGCCCATGGCAGGGGGGGGGGACTGGTTGATCTTTAAGGTCCCTTCCAGCCCAAACCATCCTATGATTCATGAATTACTGTGCTCTTCAACAGTAATATCTGCTGTTCTGGTATTAGTTCAATATTAATATTCTAATATAGTATTTCAGCCAAATCAAGATTTTAGAATGCGTTGATGTGATCAAAAGAGAGCCATCACTTCTACATCAGTCTTTGACTAGTAGAGTTGTGTTACAAAACCTGTACAGGAGCAGTAACTTCCAGCTGGATTCCAGTTCAGTCAACTTTTAGTCCTTAAAATAAAGGACTCTGCATGTTTATGCCCATAAAGCTGCAGTTTTGCTTATAAAATAAATGTTTAAAGTTTTAAAGAGGAAGAAAAGAAAGGCAAAAAAGAGATATTTTTGAATTATAAAGAGAGTCATCATAAAAAATGGAAATTACATTGCGTTTTACAAATCCACTGAAACGGATTTTGAACCAGGCCTGAAACAAACAAAAAAAACCCCCCACATCTTTAGGAGTATTAGGGCGTAAAAAACCCACATCTTTAGGAGTATTAGGGCGTTATCACTCATTGTCACAACATTGGAAACGACTTCCATGGCATATTTTTGACCTCATTACTACAGGACTATGTGCCAACAAGAATCCAGTTCCTTCAGATGGTTACTTAAAGCACAGCAAATTCCACAGCTGGTAAGTTACGTAGGGAGAAACATACTTGGTTCCCAAATTTCTAATTCATTACAGTCACTTCCGAAGCTAAAATTCTCAGAAGGGTGTTTTTTCCTGCAGTGATTCCTGCATTGTAAGATTTCCATTGGCTTCGGGAAGCTTTAGCTCCCCTAACAACATAAATTTGAAGAAGCCAAACATTTGCTATTCAGATTCCAACCTCTGACTTGCAGAACATCAGCAAAACCTCCCTGCCTCTAACACAACCTATTTGCTGCCGTATTTTGTTGATAGTAAAAGGGGAATAATATATAAGGGAAGCTTTAATTTGCCTCAAGTAAGACAAACTAGGGTAAAAGTGCATTGTCTAAATATGGGAAAAGTAACAGTTCTTCACTTTTTTGAAGTATTACAAATTCCTGCGTAGCACATTAAGAGCTTTTATTAATCTGGCTAGGGTGTTTAGGTTTCTGTTAAAGTGCCTGACCGTTAGCCTAGGTGCTTCTAACGTAAAGATGTATGGTATTAAAACAACTCAACGTGTGCAGTGGACTTCACGTACACCTTCAGTTACCATCTGCCACCTACCACTGTAAACCACGACGACCGCAAACGCAGCCAGCCGGTACTCCTTTGCCTACGACATGAACCCCTCAGAAAACCCTGCAGCCCTTCCCCTAATTTCACACCAAGAGGACAAATCTGGGGGAAGGGACAAGACGAACTGACTTCCCCGTCAGCTGAAGTTTACAGTAAGCTAGATTTATACAACTTTCGAACGTACAGGCAACCTATCAGTTGTAGCTTGGCCCGAGATAAAACTGAATAAAATGACTTCTAAGTTGTAAACCTCTCGTTTGTTTCTATTAGAACTCCCATCCGCAAGACAGAAGCCTAACTGTGCAAATTTTAAACATCTGTACACTTTAAGGCAGTTAAAAATCTCACGAAATATATATTGGTTCTACAAGCTCTTATTCTGACTGTTCAAGAGCTCCCTCCTTTTAAAAAGAAAGGCATGGAACATTTTGGTAAGTGTAGTTTCAAACAAGGTGTCGTATTTCGTTTTTCTTTTGTGTAACTAGCAAACCAAAAGTTTTTAACTCTTTCCTTTTTCCTACCAGAGTTTCAAGCACAATAACCTGTTATCTTCTAGTTTTGTAACAAATTTTAGAAGTAATAGCTACATTAGTGTTTGAGCCCTAACGTGCAGAGTTCAGACTATATTAAGCAAAAACGTACCACTAACCTTCCTCAGACGAAAGCAAGTTTTACATCAAATTGAATTTGTATGTGAAAGTTGCTTCTGTTTGGTTTTCCAGTTTGGAGCAGCTAAGCTGTTAAGGATGACTCCAAAGTAACCATACGTCTCATTACATTAACATATATTTATATGTTTTTTATGGTTAATATATTCTGTCTTGCCTAGTAAGTAGTCTGATAATTGCATCCTACGTTCCAGGTCACACGCTATGCTTCTGCGTTTGTAGAACGTTTACTGGGATTAAGTGCAAGCAACTTAAATTTAGCAACCAAAGCATGTAAATGCATTCCAATTCTTACAGCACACTCTCAGCTTTTTTGAAAGGCTACATAGAAAATAACCACCCCACCTCATACAAAATTTCCCTGGCAAGTTTTACGACAACACAGAAATAAATTTGCCTCCTTTGTCAAACCAATTAATGTGAAGATTCCTTATGGGAATGTGCACGTTTTCCTTCAGCAAGTATGAAAAATAGACTGTAATACATTATAAAACTAAATGAAAGCATGTTCTCAGTCAATGCTGACTGTGTTGGCCTCTTGCAAAATGGCAAGCAAAGTCATACTTATTTTTACACTTACACCCACATATGTTGCACTGAAAAGGATTTTCAAACCCATGACACCCCATGTGAATAGTATAAAGGATATTGTCCGCGAAGTACATGTCACAGTGTTGGCAGTGATGCAGAAGCTGAG